CTCACTAAACTGCAAGCTCCGTATCTAGTGCGGTTTGCTGTGGGATGCCCAGCACCCAGGTGTCTGGTACATCAAGGTGCCCAATCCCTGGACCTGTTAGGAACAGAGTGCACAGCAGGAGGTGAGCAGAGGGAGGAAGGAGCGAAGCTTCAGCTGTGTTTACAGCGACCGTCCATCGCTCACATCACATCGCCACCTGAGCTACTCCTCCTGAGAGATCAGCAGCGGCATCAGATGCTCACAGGAGCACAAACCCCACTGTAAAACTGCACATGTGAGGGGTCTGGGTTCTACACTCTCATAATTCATCCCTCGTCCCCTGGTTCATGGAAAAATTGTCCCCCACCAAACCGCTCCCCGGTGCCAAAAACGTTGAGGACAACTGTGGTACATAACAGTTGCTTGATAAAGTGTTTGTTGAATGAATTTTTTTAATAAATGCATTGTTAAACCATAGCAGTTTGAAGTGGCGTGCCACAGCCTGCTGAGGGACAGGCTGCTGCCCAGGAAGGGGGCTAGGTCTTGACGGGTTTGATGGGGTAGTTGACTCCTTGCTTTGTGTGGATGCATCATTTTATTTGTTTGTCCTAAAGTTTATTCATTTATTTATTTCATTAGCAAGAGAGACAGAGAGAGAAAGAGCACACTTAGTGGAGACAAAGGCCTCTCCATTGCAGGAAAATAAAGACCACTTCACAACCCTGAGCAGTGGATTCAAAGCCACTAGGAGCAAATGGGGGGAAATAAGAGGTCTGTGTTGGTTAAAAAGCTGGGCTAGGACTGACCCTGTAGGACATGGTTAACTGCTGTACGTTGGGAGTGGATCCCTCATGGCCAATGGCAGTTCCATCCTGGCCCTGGAGGCTTGAAAACATTTTGGGTGTTGGGTCAGCTGATGCCATGGTGGATAAGGTGCTTGGATATCACATGGGTGCCTGTGTGGTTCAAATCCCAGATCTGGCAGCTTGAAAAGCATGCTGAGTGCATGTGCATGCCCAAAATCCTGACAGGAGGGAGAAATTGAGAAGAATTTGTGGCGTGGCTGATCCCCATCCAGGGTGCTTTCTCACTTTCTCTCTCTCTGGTGAACACTGGGAAAATTTTTTTTTGGAAAGAGATTTTTGGTATAGGGCTCACGTGTACTCACCAGATGAGATAGAGAAACAGAAAGCAAGAAATCACCCCCTCCCTGGGGGAACGGTCACACTGCAATCCGTTCTCCTCCATTCTCCTCTTGGGATTTTGCACATGCACATGCACACTCCTGGCATGAGTTTAAAGCCATCAGGTCCAGGACTCAAACCACAGTCTACCACATGGGAGTTCAGCAGCATAACCATTATGCCATCTGCTGGTCTCCTGGCAACTTTTTTTTTTTTTTTTTTAAAGAAAAAACATCCTGGATGTGTGTGCACGCACAAAATCTCAATAGGATGGAGAAATGGAGAAGAAAAGACTGTGATGTGCCCATGCCCAACTGCAGGGCGCGGTGCTTTCTTCCTATCCCGCTTTCTCTGTCTCTCTGTCTCTCTCTCAGAGGGCACACACCCTCCAACACTTTAAAAAATAATAAATATGGGACCAGCAGTTGGTGTGATGTCTATGTCACTGAACTCCCATGTAGCCAACTGTGGTTAGAGTCTCAGACCCAGTGGCTTAAACTCACGCTGGGCGCATGTGCGTGTGTGCCTAAGATCCTGAGAGGAGAATGGGGGAGAAGGGATTACGGCGTGGCCACCTCCCCTGGGGGAGTAATTTCTCGCTTTCTGTCTCTCTGTCTCTCTATGTCTTTCTGATGAGTGCATGCGCCCTATAACAAAAATCTCTCCAAAGCAAATAAATAAATAAATAATCAATATAAGCTAGGCTAGCATCTGCACACAATGACTTACTGCCTACAAGGCTTCAAAGTGAAGTTAAGTGAGGGCCTCCCATCTGGGCACTAGCTGACTGCCCTCTAGGCCAGGAAGGAGATTCTGGAGCCCTGGGCTTCCTCAGATTGGCCCCGCCCCCCTCTGCCTGTGCCAGTCCAGACTCCTTGCTCATAGCACTGGGGCCGAGTTCTTTCTTATTTTCCTCTCTGGCAAGTGAGAGCCTCTAGACTCTGCTAGAAGGATGAGGGCCAGCAGCTGGGACACCCTGATGATATGATCCAACTTGGCAGGCCCAGACTTCTCCTGTGATTGTCCAGGCAAACCTGGCTGAGTCACACACTGTGCACAGGACTGGCCTTTCTCTGGCTTCGTCCCCAGCCAGCTCACAGAGGGTGGAATTTCTTCCCAAAGCTAGGGACAGTTGGGTCCATGCCTCTGACTAGGGAGATGCAGGGTGGGACAGTGCTGAGGACTCTGGGTTGGGTCCTGACTCCCCCATGTGATTTTTTCCAAAGCCATCTCTTCAGAAAGCAAGGGGAATGCAGGAGGTAGAGTGAGATGCACAGAGCTCTTGGGTCCATTCAACCCGTCAGGACTTTGAACTTTCACTGCTTACCTAACCAAAGCACTAAGCTGCTTCTTGACTATCTATCCTGTGCCCTGAAACCAACACCCTCAGGTGGGCAAGTCAGCCAAAAAAGAATGGAACAATGGCTTAGACACTGATTGTAGGGTGTGCGACAGCAGCCCACTTTGGTTTTGTGATACATTTATTTAAATAGATTCTTTTTTCAAATTTTCTAGAATTATTTAATTTTATTTATTTATTATTCTTATTATTTAAATTTTGCTATAGGACTCGTGCACTCACCAGAGAGAGAGAGAGCGAGGGAGAGAGAAAGAGAGAGAAAAACAAGCCACCAAGTCCAGGACTCAAACCATGGTCAGTCATGTGGGAATCCAGCACCTTAACCACCACACCACCTGCTGGCCCCTAAGTAGATATTTATTACATTCTCAGAAACTCAAGGGCTTATGGTGG